ACTTGAAAAGATAAATGCATGATACAAACCAAAGACTTTGTGACTCATGTAAGAAGTTTGTTTTTTTTTCTTTTGGACAAAACAGAGATTTATATGCGTGACCTGAAATATAAAATTTCATTTTTGAAAGCATGCAAATCATACTTTAAAATTTGACCGTTTCAATGTAGTTTTTTAATTATTTTTATTTTTTTATAAACATATAATGTATTATTAGCCCCAGGGGTACAGGTCTGTGAATTGCCAGGTTTACATACTTCACAGCATCCACCATAGCATATACCCTCCCCAATGTCCATAACCCCATCAACTATAGTTTATTTTTTTTAAAGAGATGAAATATATCTGAGATTTGAGGAGATAATCGAATTGCTGTATTTACAATAACTGAACATCCTCTCAGGAGATACTGTGAAGCTATCATGAGAAACACATTCTTTTTCCATTTCCTTTTTAAGAAATCATATTTCTAAACAGATTAGGATCAAAACATAGTGAATTACCAAGTCAATCTTCTTCCCTCTCTTCTGGCACAATGTAAGATAATGATGCACTGAATTTCATCTATAAAGATGACACTACTAACTTTCTGGCAGCAGGCCAGGCCCATAAGTTGTTTTGCTATAGGGAGAAGAGATCTGCACAAAGCCACCTTCTTTCTAGTACACCATTTGACATATAGCATACATTGGCTAGAACCCTGGCTTGAGTACATAGAGCCTGAGTTGGGCTAGACTCTCAAGAACTGACCACAGGGAATGCCTGGGTGGCTCAGTTGGTTAAGCGGCTGCCTTCGGCTCAGGTCATGATCCCAGCGTCCTGGGATCAAGTCCCACATCGGGCTCCTTTCTCCGCAGGGAGCCTGCTTCTCCCTCTGCCACTCTGTCTGCCTGTGCTCTCTCTCTCTCTCTCTCTCTCTGACAAATAAATAAATAAAATCTTAAAAAAAAAAGAACTGACCACAGTACTAGATTTATTAAAGGGGCTGTATACTAGTAGCAGTACTAAAATGCAGCCCAAACTCGTCTTCAGCAAAGCATCCCCGATACGTTATTTCAAAAATGGCTCTCTCTACATCTCTGAACATGTTAATGGCATAGGATCTATGTCTTCTAAGTCAGCTTAGAGTCCTAAACAAGAAAGTAGGATCAATAATTGATTCTAATTATATTGAGGTTCTAAATGTATTTTGCTACCTCTCACCAGAGATGCATAGGTAGAATATCAAGGAAATTAAAACTGCTACCAAAGTTAAAAACCATTACACATGGCTTATATATATTGTATTTTGTAAAAAGGAAGAGTTGTGTTGGCCTTGCTAATATTTCTTTTTCAAGTGTATGGAGGGTAGAAAAAAGATACAGTGAGGTGGGGAAGATGCCAAGATAATTTGGGATTAAAATGCCACTTATCAAATGCCTAAGTGGGCATTTGAAACCTTCTCTTTCTGAGCTCTTGTCACATTTTCTCTGCCCAATGGTTGTGGCTTCCCGCAGTACTTGTTCCAAGTTCCTACGTTATGCATGAGGTTTTTTTTTTTTTAGGCATAAGGAGAACCAACATACAGGGTATTTGCACCTGCTGTTACCTTTGTCAGAAATGCATTTTCCACTTTTTTCATCAAAGTCCTATTCATCCTCCAAAATCCAATTCAAATGCCACCTTATCCACTCATGTATGCATGTCTGGTATGTGCCAGCCATTATGCACTTCTCCTTGGAGATGTATTTAATGTATTTGATTGGCCATTCTGCAGCTCCCTCCTCTCTACTTCCACGTGATCTTATACCTCCATATAAGTACTTATCATCTCTGGGAATTATTTATAAGATTCTCTCTTTTATGAAGACCATGGGCTTCCAGAACTAAGGAACTTTATCTTACTCATTTTTGTATGCCCGCATGTTATGTAGCACAGTGACTTGCACATAGTAGATGGTTAGTAAATCTCGAGCTATTACTCTATCTCCCTCCCTTTCATTTGTATGTGCTATTTTCTACTTACTCATCTAACTTGACTCTCAATCTTTCTGTCCTATTACTCTACTAACACTGCTCTCACCAATGTTGTCAACAACATCCTTCTTACTGATTTCAAGTAGATGGGTGAAACACACTCTTTCCATTGGTTTTGCTAAGTTGGATAATTGTAAGCTAGTAGCTATTTTTGCCACTTTATAGGGAGAACCTGCCTGAAGAATGAGGCTACTACAAAGGAAAGCAGAGTTGAGAGTGACCTGACGACATCATTTGATCTCCAAGTTTTAGGCATATCTTAAGCCAGCTTCATCAAGGACTTTACAGGTAAATGAGCCAATAAATCCCATGACCTCTTCTTAAAAAAATCTTAATTCAGTTTAGGCCAGCTATCTGGCAACTGAGAGAGCCCTAACTTAGCTAATGATCTCCATTTCTATATTTCCAGCCCAGATATTTTTCCTGAGCTTCAGGTGCATATCCCCAACTGCTTACAAGATTTCTTCTCTTTGAATTTCCCACAGGTACCTGAAAATCAAAACTTATTTAAAACCACACATCTTCCTTTTCTGATCATTATCTCTGTGAATAATAATAGCACTTTGCCAGAAACCTGGGTGGCTTTCTTGACCCCCCCTTTTCTCCCTTCAATCAAATCACCAAGTCCTAATTTTTTTCTACCCACTAAGTAAATCTATTTCTATTTCCATTGATGCTACTCTAATTATGTCACTGTCATTTCTTATGTATATCATTGCATTGGCCTCCCAGCTGCCTTCTTTGTCTCCCTTATACCCCTTCTAGTCCATTTTTCTCTATTTTCTCCACTTTTTCATTATATTTTCAATTACAGTAACATACTTACTGTAACAAGTCAAACAGTACAGAACTACACAAAGAACCACTTAAGAGTTATCCCTTTCCCATCCAACCTCTTTCCACTTAATATAATCAATAATTCAGAATTTGGTGCTTCTGCTTTCCATATCTGTTTCTATGTTTATATCCATATACCTGTATCTAGTAACATTTTTAGGGGGTTAAAATCTTTCTCTTTTTAAAAGATTTTATTTATTTATTTATTTGAGAGAGAGAGAGAGAGAGAGAGAGAGTGCAAGTGAGCAGTGAGAGAGGTGGAGGGGGAGGGAGAGAGAGAATCCTGACCAGTCTCTGCCTGGCGTGAAGAGCATAATGTGGGGACTGACTTCACAATCCTGAGATCATGACTTGAGTCGAAATCAATTAGTTGATTTCATTTAGTTGCCTAATCAACTGAACCACCCAGGTACCCCAGAATCTTTCTCTTTTTTTATAGATATGGGATTATATTTTACACATTACTCTGCAACTTAATTTTTATGACCTAGCAAAGGAACATGGTTATTCTTTAAGTCCATACATAAAACTGCAAAATATTCATTTTAATAGCTGCTAGGATTAAATAGTATGGCTATGTCATCATTTATTCAACCATTTCCTTATTTATAGATACTAAGGTTGTCCCTCTTTTTGCCACTAAAACAGTCCTATAATAAATATCCTTGTATATATGGCCTATGTACCAGTATTCTTATTTCTGTATGATAGATTCCCCAAACTGTAAGTGCTAGATTATAAAGGTATCCAAATGTTTAATTTGACTGGATAGTTGTGCTAATATCCAAAATGGGTGTAATAATTTATATTCTCAAATATTATATACTACATTAATAGAATGAAGGCTAAAAATCATACGATCATCTCAATAGACTTAGAAAAGCATTTGACAAAATTCAACATTCTTTCATCATTAAAAACTTTTCACAAATTAGATACAGAAGGAATGTATTTCAGCATAAGAAGGCTATATATGACAAGTCCACAGCTAACATCACACTTAACGGTGAAACACTGAAAGCTTTTCCTCTAAGACCAGGAAAAAGACAAAGATACTAATTCTTGCCACTTCTTTCAACATAGTACTTGAAATCCTTTAGCCAGAGCAATTAGGCAAGAAAAAGAAATAAAAGTCATCCAAAATGGAAAGGAAAAAGTAAAATTGTCTCTGTCTGTTGATGATATAAACCTATATATAGTATATCAGTACACTGATAACTATAAAATGCTGATGAGAGAAATTGAAAAAGATACACAAAAAATTAGAAAGATATCCTGTGTTCTCGGATTAAAAAAATTGATATTGTTAAAATGTTCATATTACCTGAAGTCATCTATAGATTTCATGCTCTATCAAAATTCCAATGACATTTTTTTCCCATGGAAATAGAAAAAAAGTTCCTTACATTCATATGGAACCACAAAAAGACGACAGATACCTCAAGCAAACTTAAGCAAAAAGAACAAAGATGAAGGCATTACATTTCCTGATTTCTAAATATATTGCAAAGATAGGGTAATCAAAACAGTATGGTACTGGTGTAAAAACAGTCATATAGACCAACGGAACAGAATAGAGAGCCCAGAAATGAAATCTACGCATTTATAAGCTACCCATCTTCAACAAGGATGCCAAGAGCACACCATGGGGAGAGGACAGTCTTTTCAATAAATGCTGCTGGGAAAACTGGACATCCATATGCAAAAAAAAAAAAAAGAAAAGAAAAGAAACTGGACACTTATCTCACAGCGTATATAAAAATCAACTCAAAATGGATACAGTTAAACACAGACCTGAAATTGTAAAACTACTAGAAGAAAACATAGGGGAAAACTGTTTTGATCTCTGAACTTTTTTATTGGCGTCCTGCTCCCCAAAGAGTACACTGCTTCTGCTGCTTCAAAGCCTCAAAACTGATGTCATTGGTCTCAGACACCCCTTTGCCATCCACAGTCCTATAGGTGGTGGTCTTTTAAATGGTTTGCATGGAGTTTTTGCTGTCTAGGGTGTCACCAAGATTGAAGCCCTCTCTCTGTCTTCCAGCAGGTGATAGTAGGTGGTGATTTCAGCCTCTAACTTGGCCTTGATGTCCAGCAGGGCTTTGTACTCCTGGGTCTGGTGCTGCCCCTCTGACTGGGTCTGAGACAGCTCTGACTCTAGGTGAAGGACTCCATTGAGCTGCTACATCTGCATAACATAGCAGGTCTCCAATTCCCTCAGGTTGTTCTGAAGTTGGACTTCATATTTCTCATGGAGTCCAGGTTGATCTCCAAGGACTCAGCTGCTCCTATCTCATCAGTCTGTAAGGTGATCACTGTGGTGCTTTCCTCAATCTGCTGGGGTCAGCCTGGTATTTGTCCAGCTCCTTTTAGTTCTTCTCAGCCAGCTCATCATACTGGGGTTGGATGTTCACTATGATCTTGGTGAGGTTTTGAAATTGGGGGCATCCAACTTCATGGTCAATCTGGGCCTGTAGACCCTTTACTTCTTCCTCATGGTTCTTTTTCATGAAGAATAGCTCCTCCTTGAGAGTCAGTTTCCATCTCCAGCTGCAACTGAGTGACACTGATGTCTTCAATGACCTTGCAGAGCCCATGGATATCACTGTCCACAGACTGGTGCATGGCCAGCTGTTTCATACTTGACTCTGAAGTTATCAGTACCAAGACAGGCATTGTCAATCTTCAGAACAATGCAGACATAGTCTACAGAATTTAAAAAGATTTGAGTCCTCAAGTTTTTGGTGATCCTGAAGTAATGCCCCCAGTCTTTGACCTGTGGTCCCTTCTTTTCCAGGTGTTTTCAGATGTTGATCTCCAGTCTCTGATTATCAGCCTCCAGGCTCCTCACCCTGAATATCCCCTATGCCCACCAGACCCCCGGTCATTCCTGTGGTCAGGCACCCAGACCTCCAGCCACTCTAGAAGCTGGTGGAACAGGACACAGAGATCCAGGAGTCTGAGTCCCTAGCTCCTGCATAAGTGTTGGCCACACTGCTGACAGGGCAAACCTGATGGCTAGGTGAATGCATGGAGCCCTGAGTGGTGAAGCTCCTCTGTTCAGGGAGGAAGTCAAGAGGTCAGGACTCAGGCTGCCAGGAAAAAGCTTCTTGACATTGGTCAGGAAAATAATTTTTTGGATATTATCCCAAAAGTATAGGTGGCAAAAGCAAAAAAAAGGACAAATGGAACTGTATCAAACTAAAAAGCTTCTGCACAGCAAAGGAAGTAAACTACAGAGTAAAGAGACAACCTATGAAATGGGGGAAATATACATCTGTTTAGGGGTTAGTATCCAAAATATGTAAGGAATTCAAACAACTCAATAGTAAATAATAACAAAAATAACATAAATAATAATAACCTGATTTAAAAATGGGCAAAGGACCTGAATAGACAGTTTTCCAAGGAAGACACAAAATTGGCCAACAGGCATATAAGAAGATTTTCAACATCACTAATCATCAGGGAAATGCAAATCAAAACCACAATGAGATGTTACCTTTCACCTGTTAGGATGGCTATCATCAAAAAGATAAGAGACAACATATTAGTTAGGATGTAGAGAAACAGGACCCTTGCACAATGTTGGTAGGAATGTGAAGCAGTACAGCCATTATGGAAAATTGGTTCCTCAAAAATTAAAAACAGAAATACCACATGATTCAGTAATCTTATTTCTAGGTGTATATACAAAGAAAATGAAATCAGAGATATCTGCATTCTTATGTTTGTTGTAGCATTAGTCATAATAGCCAAGATATGGAAACAACCTAAGTGTCATATGAATGGAAAAAGAAAATTTGGTCACACACATGTGATGAAATATTATTCAGCTTTAAAAAAGAGGAAAATCCTGCCATTTACAACAACACAGATAAACCTGGAAGACATTATCCTAAATGAAATAAGCCAGATAGAGGAAGATATGTACTGTTGATATCGCTTATATGTAGAATATAAAAAAATTAAACTCATAGAAGCAGAGCAGAATGGTGGTTGACAGGAGCTGGGTGTTAGGGGAAATGGGGAAGTGTTGGTCAAAGGGTACAAAATATGAGTTTTGCAAGATGAATAAGTTCTGGAGACCTAATGCACAGCTTGGTGACCATAGTTACTATTACTGTGTTGTATGCTTGAAATATGCTGAGAGTCTAAGTCTTAAGTGTTCTCACCACAAAAAGAGGGAACTAGGTGGGGAGATAGAAATGTTAATTAGCTTGATTGTGGTAATCATTTCACAGTGTATATCAAAATATCACATTGTATACTTGAAATATACACAATTTTTATTTGTCAATTATATCTCCATAAAGTTGGATAAAAACCAATTTATATTCTTTCCACAAATACATGGATTACCCCACCTCCCAATTACCATGGGAGGCTATTATATTATAAAATTATTGCTAATATATTTGGGTGATGGGTAGAAAAATGACATATCGTGCATATTTTAAAAATTAAATTTTCTTTAAATTAGTAGTACATATAGATATTTTAAAAATTCAAAGATACAGAAATGTAAAAATTAATTCTCCCCCCACAAACTTAGTTTTCTTCCCCCAAGCAAACAGTTACCAGTTACAGATTTATCATAATTTAGTTAATCATTTCCTAAACAATGGACATTTATGTTATTTCCAATACTCTGCTATTTCACATAGTACAGTAAAGAATATCACTGTTGATAAATGATTTCCCACATGTGAGTATTTCTAGAAGTAAAAGTGATTAGAATTACTGGATCAGAGTATATGCATTTAGCATCTGAAAATATTTTCCATAAAATCTATTCTTGACATTGATCCTGTACTTCCCCATTGCCTTTAGGATAATTTCTATGCCCCAGAAAATGGATTCCAAGTCCCTATATGATTTGTCCCCTGCTGGTCAGCTCATTTATCACTTCCCCTTTAAGAATTTATATTAACCATACAAATTTGTTTCAGTTCCTCAAATGAACCAAGCCCCTCTTACTCTAAGCCTTCTAACATTTATGTTCTCTCTGCCTGGTTTACCCTTCCCTCACATCTTCACTTGGCTAACTCTCCAGCATCTGTCAGGTTGTAGCTCAAGAGACTATTAGGAGACCTTCCTGAACCTCCCAGGTGTAGATCAAGTGCTGCTGCATCCCACAGCATCCTGTGTTTACCCAATTATATCACTTACTATACAGTGTTGAAACTATCCAGCTGTGAGACTGATGAGGGTAGGGTCTTATCTCATTCAACTCTGTGTCCATAGTGGTTCAAACGGAGATCAATAAACATTTATTCAACAACTAGTTGGTACTTAATAAACATTTATTTGAATGAATGAATGGGGTTGAGAGGAAGCCCTAGTAGCTCTTCACATGTGAGACAAAAGAGGACCTACAGGTTTAGGAATAGAATCTAGAGTAAGGCAGGGTTGCATAAGTAATCCACTATAGATCCAATAGGAGCCATCTGCCTGCATATTTACATCTTCCTGTGGCATTTTGAGGAGCCACACAAAAGGGAACTGACAGTTTATCACTTGGCCAACAGGTTAACCTTACAGCCTTCACTTCTTAAAACCTTACTGAGCCTCTTTATGGATGTTAATGAAAAGGCACATTTGACCATCTAAACTGAAATCCTGAGTATTTAATCATCCAGACATCATCTAATTGGCTAAGACTACCCTACCTATTATATTATAGAAATCAAGAACAGCTAGGAGAAAATTAAAAGAGAATTAGAAGAAAACAATTAGATCATCTATTCTAGTAGTTCATTTTTTTTCTTACCCTTGTATATCTGAGGGATATGATATAATCTCTTCAGTAAGAGTACTATCTCATTATAGAGTTCTTAATGGGGGCAGAGTCGTCAGAATTTCCAGGGAGTGAGTATATCTTGAAAGAAACCTCCTTAGATGATTTTCAATTTCTTACACCAGAGTTGAGAGTCACTGATTCTAATTTAAACTTTAGAAAAACTGAGATCAGAGAAGTAAAGACTTACCTAAGATCATAATGCTAGTAGAACTGGCAGAGTTGGGACTATAATCTGGGCCTCCTGGCTCAGAGTTCATCATTTTTCATAATATTTAGAAACAAATAACTAGAAGGAATTTAAGACAGTGAGACAGACCAGAAATACCTTTAGAGAACCTCAGGTCAAGTGGGCTTCTGACCTCTTTCAGGCAAGTAAGAGATTCCTCAAAGATATCTTACCTTTACAACATTTTCTAATGGGAGGCAGGCATATTCACATTTTACCTTACACGATGCTGTATTGTTTATGTTTGTTTTAATGAGTATGTATTATTTTTATTATTTAAAAATTACACAGATATTTTTAAGCAGCCTAATGTTTAACTTTATACCCAGTTCACTTTAGGACTTAGGTACGGAGGACAGGAATTTGGTAGCTCTTCCAACTGTAGAGCCTGGTACAATGTCTTACAAGTAGCTGGTATTCTAAAAATGTTTGTTAATCAAATATCAGTGGTAAAAGCTTGTTGAAATCATCTACTGCAGAGCTAGTTCCACCAGTGAAAATATAGCTTTAAAGGGTATTTTGCAATATGAGCAAGCTAAGACATTTTAGCTTACTTAATATCTTATTTGATATAAAGACATTTACCAGAGGGTTCTGCTGTGGGCACTTACGCTGTTGGCTTCCATGACCAGGAGACGACCTTGGGGACTCTACATCTGAAATCAACAATCCTTTTCAAGTCTACACACATGGTAAACCCTCAAAAGCTTTAATTCAGCCTCATGAACAAACCCCTATAAGCTCTCAAAATGATTTTATTCTTTCTCATTTGATAACAGCACAGTGTGGTTCACTGAAAAGCAATCAATATAAGAGAAATACTAGAATGAGGGCACTTATTAATTCTAGCTAAAATATGTATTGGTAGAAAATCTGTTTCTTTGAGGCCATAGCCTTTCATGTTCACCTGTATTAACTTAGTGGTAGCTATGCTCTATTTCATTATTATTTTTATGAAACAAAGGATAAAGTGTATATTTCAATCTTGCTTCTCCATTTTACTCTTTTATAATAGCAAAAAAGGATACTTTTTTGATCTGTGCAAAAGTAAACTACAAAGAAGAGATAATGACAAAAAGGGACACATATATACAGCCAGACAGAGTGTAAGAGAGTGACACAGAACTC